GTTATAATTTCAAATAAACCATATGCGAAAATGTCAAAAATTGACATATGATATGTCATTCTATTCAGAGTGACATTTTCTATTGAATAAAGTAAAAAAATACCGGGGTGTCATTTAATAATCAAAAGTTGTAGTCATTTCCGGTGAAACCGGAAGCGACCGACAACAAATGAATACGTCAATCAATCCTAATTTATGTCATATACTAACATACCAAATCCCGTTCATTTAACTAAAAAAATAAAAAAGTTATAGGGGTGAGCCACTTTTGAGACTCACCCGGTGTAGTATAAATAGGAAAAAAAATGGCGTCCATATAATTTTATATATAATTTCATATCTAAAATGACAGCGATCTTCATTCCATAGCCATCGCCTCATCCAAATATTGACGTTGCTTCAGAAATTATTTGGAAAAAATTGAAATAAAAATGATGATGAAAACTTCTACACCCTGTATCTCCGAATCTAAGCATCTTGAGAAGATGTTTTCCTCAAAATATATTCATATAATCAGAAAGATCTTTTTACTAAAAGTAATTTTGGCATTACAACCCAGTCCAAGACGTATGAAATTATTTTAAATATTTTTAATGGAATTAAAATTTTGTAAGGCATATTTAATAATTTTCCTTCACCAAATTGTCAAGATTTTTAATATTTTAATTTAATTATAAAAATATATTAAACACTTATATCATCTTTTTTCCAGCTTCTATCCAAAATATACTCTTGTATATTAATAACGTTTAAAGAAATTATAAAAAAAAATAAAAAAGTAATTGCATCGGCCGGGAATCGAACCCGGGCCGCCCGCGTGGCAGGCGAGCATTCTACCACTGAACCACCGATGCTTGTATTGTCGTTTCTAAATAGCGGTATTTAAGCAGAAGGCGGCTTACTTATAATCTATTTTTTAATTATTGTACCAATTAACCAATCTATAACCGCATTGTTTCTATTACAAAACTAACTAAACATAATATAAACGAATTAAACGAATTTCTATACTCCAACATCTATATAAAACAGAAACAAACAAAAATATTTTTTGAAATTAAAATAACTTGAAAACACTTTTCAAATCAATAATTTGAATTTTAAATCACTAACTCCAACTAAAATAAACAACAACTACGATATTATATAAGTACATATATACATATATATTGATTGATAAATCTGTTTTATTTAACATGGAAATTTTTTCTTAAGAATTCTATTATTTAAACATGCGGTAAAACGCCTTATTTTTATCCGCCTGTATTTTCCAGCATCAAATAAGTTTAGTTATCGTTAACACAGTTTAAAATAAATAATAAAAGTTATTGTATAAGAGTTATAACAGTTTTCTACTTAAAATAACAAACAAGAAAAAATACAGTTTATTTTTTCTAATAACAAAGAAACGGGCTGAAAGGACTAAAAGAACGTCTTATTGTTAACTAAATAATGACTCAGAGATTTACTTAAATACATAATATTCCATTATATAACTATATGTTAGAAATATAGCTTTATTTCAAAAAAAATATTTAAAAATTATAAAATAAGGGGAAATTTTTTTTGCTATAGGCAACCAGTAATATTCTTCGATGTATTGTTGGTTACCAACCATGTTTTATTTAATAAATTAAATATTCAGGTGATACTGAAGTTATGTGGTAAATAAAGAGATAAAACATAAAATAAATTATTATTTTTATTTTATTACTGAGTTTTAGTATAGTTTTATCGTTTAAGTTAATAGGTTTTCAAATTTCACATTTGTTACAATATATCTGTATCTAATTTAGTAATGAATATCATGAATAAAATAAATTTCTTAGAATTATTAATATTTAATGAAATGTTCATAAATTTTTAACTAGCATATTACTGGTACGCTACTGGGGTATTTATGTGATGAGGATGTCATGCAATGTGTGCTTTTGGTATTAAACAAGAAAAAAAAAAGACAAAGCAGCATGGAGGCATGAACAGCAATTTATCTATTTTATTAATATTGATTCGTTATTAGGTTTAGAACAAGGGAAGAATCAATTTTTCCAAAGAACAAATATACTTACGGCATTGCGTGAGGGAATTACAAAGAAATTACAGGGCACCGGCTATGTTTGGTAAAGATTTATTTTTTTATGTTGCTGACCACTATTTACAATTACCTTTTTTTTTCTGTATGTGGTAATTTTAATAAAAAAAAAACGTTTTCCTTGTTTCCTTTTGATTTTTTTTTAAATAAATTAGTGGATATACAGGGTGTCCCTTAAATAAGTACCAATAGGGAGGTATAATTTTTTATATCTGATTTTATTATAGATCTCTTTATGGGGGGAAAATGCATCAAAATGCCTTTTTGATGTACAGGGTGGTCGAAATTGGTCTGTTTTGACAGAGAAAACCTATTTATTAGATAGAGTAAAACCGACATAGATGTCATGGGCTCGATTTCTGAGAAACGTTTAATGGCGTAAACCGCCTGTTGATATTTTCACTGCCAACTGAGATACGGGGTCTTTTTGATTTTTTTACCATTTGGAAAATTGCCCATAACTTTTTTATTTCGTGGAATAAGAAAATTCTGTAAAAACATTCTCAAAGCACTTTTTTAAGCACAATCCAGTGGCGTAGTCAGTTTTTTTCTATGCTTGCTCTTTTTGTCAGAAATAATAAAAAATATAATTTTTTAAATGGAAATCATAGTTGGCTACGAACTTAAAAAAATGCTGGCGTTTAACCCTTTCGAAGGATATAAAGTTATGTGTATTTATTTCTGAGAATGAGAAAAATATTAGGTTTTTTATCTTTGTAACGAAGCGGGCCTTGATTTGGTGTTGACCTAGTTGCCTAATTATTTTTATTACAATTTAATATTCTATATTATTATTTATCTGCATAATTAAAGACTTTTGAAAAGGTAAATCAACATTCTATATTAGTATTACCAATTACAATTGAAACGCCGGGATTACAACTGTAAAAAAATCAAAAACACCCCGTATCTCAGTTGGCAGTGAAAATATCAACAGGCGGTTTACGCCATTAAATGTGTCTCAGAAATCGAGCCCATGACATCTATGTCGGTTTTACTCTATCTAATAAATAGGTTTTCTCTGTCAAAACAGACCAATTTCGACCACCCTGTACAAACAATTTTATTTGTTTCAACCAGTAGCGTCCACACAGGTTTTACATTGAATAGTTTGGTGAAAAAATGCTAAACTGAACTTAGAGAAAACGTCTATTAAATTTCATAAAAAATAACATAAGAGTTTTTATGAAAAATGTTTTTGTTTGAAAATTTTACCACCCTGTATCTCAAGAATTAAGATGTTTAGGACATAATATATAATAATCGCCTCTTTGAATAGCATGTCATTAAGGAACACCCTATATATCAGAGAATTTACAAAAAGTGATAATATATGTTAAATCCTTACGTATCATGATTACTCATTTCATTAATACGAGAGTGTAAAGATTTTAACTCAACTATACTAAACATTACATTGATTCTATTTATCAATAATTATCATTTAACGTTAAAATAATGTTAAAATAGATTAATCATATGTATTAGCGAAGCAAAATTTCAATCAAAATGCGTCACTTTTTTGGTATCTTTATAAAACTTTGATTAAAGATATAATAATTACGGTAAGTAAGTAAATATGTAATTCAATAAAATGTTTGTAAAAGTTTCAGTATACAGGGTAGTCCCGTAATTGTAATCGGGAAACTTTGATACAGGGTGTAAAGAAGTTTCTTTTTTATTTCGATTTTTTTCAAATAATTTCAGAACTAGAGTCTATATTTGGATGAATTTTGGTGTCTCGTTGTTTTTTGACATGATAAATTTGATTTCCATGTCCTACATGTTCTTTAAATGTTTTGAAGAGTAATACATTTTCTTCCGTACCTGTATAAATCCACAGAGTGAAAAAGTATATATTTACGCCTTTTTTTACGTAAAAAACAGCGAAAACGTTGTTTTTTTCACTCAGTATTGTAATACAGATACACACGAAAAATGATTACTTTTCAAAACAGTTAAAAAAATTATGTAGGTGGCGCCCCCTGCATCATATTGACATCAAAATCGAATTTCTCTTGTCAAAAAACACGAATTTTCATTCAAATATGGACATTAATTCAGGAATTATTTCGAAAAAACGAAATAAAATTGAAACCTCTACACCCTGTATCTCCGAAACGAAGCATTTTAGGACACAATTATACAGGGTGTCCCAGAAATAAGTGCAAGTATTTTAAGGTGTGGTAGATCTCGATAAAAGAGACATATTTTCTCTTTATCGTTTTTCAAATGAAAATTTCCAAAAAAAAAGATTTTTTGCGAAAATTTTGAGAACCACTGGATATTTTCTGGATTTTCTTTCTTGTAAATTGAATTTACTACCTATGTTGACATATTATCAAGAAATTATTTTTTTTTTAATAAAAACTAAAAAAATTTCCAAAAATTTTTTCAAAAAATTCGGAATTTTCAATTTTTTTTTTTGGGGAAAAAAACTCATAGGCGTGTTTCTGGGGTTGAAGTATACTACCAGTTAAAATACTTGCACTTATTTCTGGGACACCCTGTATATGAACTTTTTTACTTATATTTCTCCAAAATATGTTGCCGCAATTTCCTGATTATAATTCCGACCACCCTGTATATTTCCATGTTTTTCAAGCCAAAAATATTCTGTAAAATCTGGAAAATTATATTTTTTAATATTATTTCTTTTTATAAATATAAACTAAAAACCTGTTTTCGAACAAAAAACAACCTTTTTAAACACAAATTACCAAAAAAACTTCACAAAAATAAAAAAATATTTTTGTTACACACAAAATTGAGAAAATTTTTTAAAACAATTTCAAAAATTGCTTAAAAAATACTCCTCTTTATTCCTGATCCTTCCTTTCACTGACGCACACTTCATACTATGTAAAATACATCCCATCATCAGATGAAAAACCGAATCAAGTGTGCCACGACACCTGGAAGCATGGACAAACGAATAAAAGCGGCCACGGGCCACTAGATCGCCGGTAGTGCGTTTCCAGAACCGCCAAGTGTCCGGTTGGGGGCGTCCAGTAGCCGCGATTTCATCTTTTTTCAGCGCCAACACCGACCGAAGACGCTTTTCAGATCGTTTTCAGCGCTCGTTCGTCCACTGTTTCACTTTTCTCTTGTTTCCCGTCAAGTTTCGCGATCTAGAGCGCGCTCTTTTGTTTTCCTTCGCGTCTTTTGTTTTGGTTTCGGGTTTTCAGTTGTTTTTGAGCCTTCAGGTGAGTTTTTATTGTTTTATATATTTTAGAATTTTTAGAAAAAATATAACAGCAAAAAAAAGAAACAGAGAATGTTTTTTATTCTTTGGCGTATTACGTTTTAGACGTTAATATTTTATTTATAGACTTATTATTTTGATTGTTATAGCTAATAATATATTTGCGTACAAATATTTGATCAAAATAAAGCACGAATAACATTGATTATCTCTTAAAAATGTTTGATATTCAAAGACTAAAATAAGCCGCACTGCTGTTGTACTCTAGAACGTTTGTTATTTTGTAGTCTTCAAAAATAAAGCAAAATAGCAAAAATTATAGCAATAAATACAGAGTATTTAAATATACAGAGTGAGTCTTGAATAAGTGCAAAAAATTTTAGGGGCAGTACCTATATTTCGGCGCCAGAGGTTTTTTTGCAATTTTTTTTTGGAAAATTTGAAATATTTTGAAAAAATGTTTTTTTAATTTTAAGTTAAAAAACATAATTTCTTGGTAATATGGCAACATAGGTATTAGATTAAATTTACAAGAAAGAAAACCCAGAGAAGATGCAGTGGTTCTCAAAAAACTAAAAAATATCACTCTGTAGAAGATGTGTTTTTTTTTGGTTTTGTTTAATTCAGTTATTAGCTTGTTAGATTTAAAAAAAAATCACTCAAATTAAATTAACTAGAAATAACCAATTTATTTTTGTGTCCTTCAAGACCTAAACAGACTAATTACGCTTTAAAGCATACCAAAGAAAAAAAAACATCCTGTACATAAAACTAATTTAATTGGACATGCATTAAATCTTTGTTTGTTTGTGATAAAGTTGTATCAAGAATAAAATGTACTTGCTGGTAAAAGTTTGTGACTTCAAAGTTGCGTTTGTTTTTGAAAATTTATTTAATATTTGTCAAAAGATTTTTCTCTTAGTAAAATCTATAAGAATAATCATTTTATCTGAAGAGTCTATAATGAAATGAAGATGTTTTATTTCTTTGTTTTTAAGTTCTAAAAAAAATCTGAACTATAAAATTTGGCTGATACACATTAAAATTCGGTGATACACATTAAAAACACTCAAAATCAATTTATAAATTAAACATTTTTTTAGAAAATCTAAATATATTATATAAACAATATAGAACAAATAAGTCAAGATAGTTACAATACCGGGTGTTTCTCAAAAGTGCATCACCCCTATAACTTGTTTATTTTTTCAGATAAAAAACGAGATTTGGTATCTACACATATAAAATGCTAATGTTTATCTATGTCGTCTCTACTGAAGTAACGACTTGCTCTAGAAAGTTGCTTTTTTTACTAAATACTTACTTCAACTAGTATTATTATATGACATAAATTAGGATTGATTGACTTATTCAATTCTTTACTGTCACTTCCTGTTTCACCGGAAATTACTGCAACTTTTGATTTTTAAATGGCACCTTTGGTATTTTTTACTTTATTCGATAGAAAATGACACTCTCAATAGAATTAACTTTTGACATTTTCGCTTAAAAATCGTATTTTAAATTATTATAGATCGATCCCACTTCTGATGTATTGAAAACACAATTTTTTTATGAAGAAGCCTTGGAAAAATAGATTTGATCGTCTAATGTTTTCTTTGTGTCTTGTCCTGGCTGGTTAAAAGTTACCCAAATAGTATTTTTAATCATATATCAATGTTTTTAAATGGAACGAGGGTGGCTCATTAGCATATTTGGAAAAAGGCACTTTTTACGAATAATTTGGTACCACACACTTGGTATTTCGAGTCAAATTCTCGTTATGAACGGCATGTTACAATTTCAAATAAACCATATGCGAAAATGACAAAAGTTGACATGTGATATGTCATTCTATTCAGAGTGTCATTTTCTATCAAATAAAGTAGAAAAATACCGAGGATGCCATTTAAACATCAAATTTTATAGGCAGTTCCGGTGAAACAGGAAGTGACCGAAAACAACTGAATACGTCAATTAATCCTGATTTATGTCATATACTAACGTACCAAATTTCGTTTTTTATCTGACAAAATAAAAAAGTTACAGGGGGTGATATTATCATGGATTGTTATTCCCCAGCTGTCTTTGACGTCGTTTTTTTTTTCAATCGTGTGGTAGAATTCTATAAAACAGAGTAAAAAAGCTAAACAATCCACTTTAGAAAATCCAAAAATTCAAATGCACTCAGTAAATACAACTTGCGGTTATGCATAATGAGACTGCACCGCAATGCAACGCATAATTAAGTTTAAAAAATCGATTTTTTGTTGTCAATCTACATTAAATAAATAATTGTCCCTTGATTGGCATCCGCAGACGATTTGATTTAACCAATATGACGTAAAAGACGATAATAACATACACTTTGCTATAGATTTAAAATTCCCAGTGCATGCTCATTGAAGAAACGGTAAGCATGAAAATGCTTTAAATTAAACATTTATGTGAGATTTTTTATGCAAAATATGCTTGTTTTTAATTTTAATTATAACATTGTTTTTATAGTTATACAGGCTGTTATATACATATATTATTATCATTAATTGATCTGATCCTTTTATTTTTATTTGATTGTCACAAACAAACAACCAAATCTATTAAAATTCGTAACTAAAAAGATGTTCCACTAAAGGGGTCTATGTGCATTATGTCTATGGTCTAATGTTTAGAAGTATTTAGACAGAATTGTTACACTTTTCCTACAAAATTGTAAATATACTAATTTGTTAATAGCATTAGCTAAAAATATACTGAATGTATAAATAATTTGAAAATGTAAACGAAATGATCTTGAATATTAAATTTTTTTTGAAATTGTTAGAGAATAACATGAAGAGAGTCATAGCCTTTTTTATAAATTATGTTGATTACAGATGTTGACGTAAAAAAGTGTCTATATGTTTTACAGTCTAAGATATGTTTCTGTTAAAACGCTCCACAAATCTGAAGGTTTAAAAAAGAATTTAAGCAGAGCATGAAATAGAATTATTACAATTTTCAATGTCCCCAACAAAGTTGCAAGTAAATATAATCTGTTTTGAACTCTTATCTAAAAATATACTGGATGTATAAATAATACAAAAATGTAAACCAAGTTACAAAGGTAGGTATTAAACTTTTCAGAAATTATTACCAAGATTAATATGAAGAGAATCTTTTGGACCTTGTTCAAATCCAATCTATTTCTGAAAATTTGTCCTAAATTTCTCGTTAAACACTTTTATTCTTGTTATTCTTGCATTGTAGAGAGTGTTGACCTTCTGGTAATTTGAGGACACCTAAAGATTTCTGAGAAGACAAGGTCTCGAGTACTCGAATACTACTTGGAAGGCAAATTTTAATTGATCCTCATTAAGCGTACCTGCTCTTAAGGTAGTACTACTTTCTTTTTATTGAATAATCTTGTGAAACATTTTTATTAATTTTGAAAAATAAAGTTATTTCAAACAGAAATAAAGATACTCTGTATATTAAAATATACGTAAGTTTTCCTATGCTGTTGAAGGAGTATCTACTAAAATATTTATGACACAAAAAATACACATTGTAATAAAGAAAATTGCATGTTATATAACACACAGGGATGGACATTTTCTTAAAAACATCCCGTGGTATAAAATCGATCATTTTAATACATAATTCTCGTGTTTACTTCACTTATTTGTCTTTATATATTTTTATTCTGAAAATTATGTTCTCACACAAGAAGAATAAAACAATTATACTATAATAATCTCTTCTAAATATGTTATAATGGACTGGAAACTCTTTTTTATTTATTTTGTAAAACTTAAATCATTTTTAAGACTGTTTTTATCTGATATAATCTAATTTTAATTGTGGTATAAAAAATATTCGTGTAAATTGATCAAAACATCAGTCCAAATTGTTATTTAAAATTTAATTTGATTTGTAGATAGATATTTTATATTATTCCTTTTTTTATATTTTCTTTCCTGTAATAAACTTATAATTTAATCAGCTTTTCGTTGATTAGTTCTAGATTAAGGTTGATAGCGTTCGTCTTTTAATATTATTTTATTTTATGTGTCTGTCTATATTAAATTAACTAACTCTAATTTCTTTTAGAGATGTTTATCAAAATCGATACTTGTATCGATACTTTACCTAGAATTTCTTTATTTATTACATTGATTCGATTAATTCGTCTATTTTTTAATTTTAGTTGGTCTGATCACGTAATATACCGTATGATCGAAAAAAAAACGGCGTCGAGGCGAGATGAATCTCTAAAAGTCATTTACTAAAAATTGACATAAAACTTCGTCAAAAAATGATGCCTAATTAAAAAAAGATAGAATATTTCGAGATACACAAATCTATTTCGTTCGATTGTCATTCCCCAGCCGTCTTTGACGCCGTTTTTTTTTTCATTCATATGGTATTTTAAACAGTTTTTAGGGTGTCATGGCTAGGAAAATATTAAACCAAGAATTAGAAAAGTGTGATGTATGTACATGTAAGATTTAGAATACATACTACATTCTGATATCAGAAGTGGGATCGACCTACTAAACGTGCCACAAAAGTTTTAAAAAGTGCCAATATACCAAGTTGTGTGCAAAATCCATAAGTACCTAAAAATAAGAGACTGTTACAATGTGCAGGACACAAATTATAAGTCATATTTGCTAAAATAGATATTTTGAGTGGTCATGTTGATGTAAAACCTAAAGCAGTAAAAAAGTAGAACTTTGGAGGATTCACAGTTATCAATTAAGTTACGAATATAATAGTTTTGTTTGATTGTTTGTAATTTTAAACGTATAAAAAATTGATACTTATATTCCAATAAATTAAAATTATGGATCAATCAAATGAAAATAAAAAGGTTTAGATCAATTAATGATAATAATAACGTTACAGGACAGCCTGTATAACTATAAAATAATGTTATAACATTTTTTTCGTTGTCGAGAGCTTCAGTGATAAACTCAAAAAAATCTCTATATATAGCAACTTTCTTTCAATTCGATC